AAAAAAAAAAAAAAAAAAAAACCCAAACAAATAAAATATTAACACATTCTTTTGGTTCAACGTCAATAAAGCAAGGTATTCAGTGGGGGGGGGGTCTCAATTATATCCCTACCCTCAACTGCTCCAGTTGTTCCTGCTCTCCCTTTCTTAAGTTTGTTTATTCTCCATAGAATTTCTTGTTGCAAATGTAAGCATATATGAGTAGTTTTTCCTACCAAAAGGGATAACACATTACACACACTGTTTAACAGTAGTATATTTTTTCTTGTTTATCAGTGTATCTTGGATCTTGAATTTGTTTTCACATAAAGTGCTACATGATTCATTTTTTTCCTGGTCTACTGCTTTATTGAAGACAATGAACTCCATCCAATTTAATGTATAATTTGATGATTTTTGACAATCATATACCTGTGGAGGCCCCGCGACAGCTATTATAACACCATGATTTTTCTTTTAGTGCATCATAGTATTTCATTTTATAGATGTACCATTTTTTTAAACCAGTCATTTGTTGGAGGATATCTGGGTACCAGTACAAACAGTGCTACAGTTGATAATTTTTCCTGCAGCATTTCGTGTGTGAGAGAAATGACAAGACAAAGGAAAGGGACCATAAATCTCTCAGGGCTGCAAGTTATGGGAAGGCAATACCGTATATGGGAAGCAATGGTAGACAAATGCTATGTAATAGTTTATTTCAGTTCCTCTGATACACCATCTTCAGACTGATGAATATAGAATTGTTTTGAGGAGTGAATTCTGACCTTTCCTATAGGAGGACCACCTTTGTAAATTTGTGTCTTGCTCTTAGGGGAAAATATAGTGAGTGGGAGAGCAGAGAGCTTTTCATGTATCTGTTTCTTAATTCCCTCAGCTCAAAATAATCCTTGCACCAAGTGGCTTTTTTTTTTTTTTTTGAATGGTGTATTCTGTTTTCCCTCACTACTTGCTAGCAATGTGTGGCAGCCAGTTTAGCTACAAGTACATCATTAAACTTTGGATTTTTGCCAGTTAGGTAGACAATGGTATTGTAGCTTGAATTTGTAGTTTTTTTTTGTTTTTTTTAACGGTGAAATGAGCATATTTTTGTATGTTAGAGGATGGGCCATTTATAGTATTTACCTTTCTGTAAAATATCTCTTCATACTCTATTTTTCTATTAAATTTAGTTTTATTTTCTCTTATAGAAACACCTTAGAGTGATTACCTCTTTCTTTGAAGATAGTATTTTTACCCAAAATTGTCATTTGCCTTTGTCATTGCAAGAACTGTAGTTGAAGGTAGTTGAAGTGTGTCTTGTAAGCGTTTGCTCCTCAGGATATCTTCCCCAAAGTTGTTTAGCTTTCATTTCTTTATTTTTCTTCCTCTTTCCTTTTACTTCTTCCTTTTTTTTATTTCACTTTTTCAGAGTAACTTCTTTTTTTTCTTTCCCCTAGTAATTTTCTTTTTTTCTCGTCTCTCTCCCTTCTCTCCCCTCTTCTCACTGAGGATTGAACGCAGGGCCTTCACATTGAGCTATTTATTAAAAACTTCGTTTTGAGAGAGAGACTTGTTAAGTCACTAAATTGCCTGACTGGGTTTAAACTTGTGATTCTCCTACCTCAGCCTCCCAGAGTACTGGGATTACAGGTGCACACCACCACACTTGACCCTGGCATAATTTCTTTAGTTTTTTGTTTTCTGGGTCCCTCCACCCCCAAGGGTTGGGGGTGGGGATTGAATTTGGGATCTTGCACTTGCGAGGCAGGTGGTGAAACCACTGAGCTAAATGCCTGGCCCCTGTCATAATTCCTTTAAAAAGGATTTGAGACAGCTTGAAGATGATTTGCTATTGAACGGTAGTCAATTTAATGAGTGAATGTTATTAAATTATTTGAATAGTGTGTGACCTTGGTTCATCTATTTTGAAGGCCATGTTTTTGGTATACTGTGCACTGGAGAAAGAACCTGTGCCAATGTCCTTGCCTCCAGCTTTGGTGCCACCATCTAAAAGAAAAACGGTCAGTATATCAGCCTTTATGCAGTCGATCCCCTCTTCAGCACCAGCCAAGGAATCTTATCACTCCTTGCCACCTGTAGGCATTTTACCTACCAAAGCACCATTAAGACAGGTATAGATTTATCAGTGTTAAAGGATTTTTTTTTAACAAAGTGCATGGCATTTAACAGTTGATTATTTGATAAAGACAGAAAAAGCAATCAAATATAGATTTGGCATTCCCTCTGGTTGAAACTACAAAATATGATGTCCCAGCGGAGATGTATTCTTCTGCATCGCCTTAGGTCAGTGGTGGTGGACCTATGGCAGGCATACTGCAGTGGGCTGGCTATTTGTATCATTGAAAGTTCTAAAAGGTTTGCCATCACTGCCTTACTTAGGTCATTTGGATCTTTCGTTGGCTTTGCCTTGGTTTACATAGAATTAAAGTTGAGATGAAAGGTACTACATGCTAACACAGCATGCTTGCCTTGGCAATTAATACTGTTTTTGTTTAATCTCTAGTTAACTCTTGATTTTGGGGGATCAAATTAACCCATTCTGGTTTGCCCATGGCCTTTTTCTCCCTCTAACCTGCCTCTTCTCAAATTGAATAAAGCAAAATAATGACACGATATGAAAATTGGCCAGCTTGGCTATAGTAACAGTGATAGATGCAAATGAACACTGAAAATTATATGCCTTTTTTTTTTTTTTTTTTTTTTTTTTTTTCCGGGTATTATACCGGTGGTTGCCCTTTGTTTTTTTTTTTTTTTTTTGGTACCGGGAATTGAACTCGGGTCCTTGCACTTGCAAGGCAGGCCACCGAACCGCTGAACTAAATCCCCGGCCCTTATATGACTATTTTGTTTACTTCCAGGTTGCATGGGACTGGGAATCTATAGGTCAAGAGTTAACTATGCTTCCCTTTACTCATTATCTAAAAGAAAAAAAGTAAAATGGGCATTTATAAATTTAGTTCCAAATGACTTTTATTTTATTTTCCTCACACCATAGCATTTTGGAGGTGACACAGTGTTACAGTTAGGCTAGACTTGTTCAGAATTTGCAGTAGACACCATCATGGGTGGGAAGAGTGAAACTTCGAAGTTTTTTTCATTTTGGCAGAAACACTGTTTTTCCTTCCTTCCCATCTTCTCTAGTGGGTTGTATCCCCTGCAGAAAAAGCTAAATATGATGAAATCTTCCTGAAAACAGATAAAGATATGGATGGATTTGTGTCTGGATTGGAGGTCCGTGAAATCTTCCTGAAAACAGGTTTATCTTCTACCTTACTAGCTCATATTTGGTAAGACTTTTAAATTGATTTATTTTTAAAGTACAGTTCTGCCTCACTCAAGTTTTGTGCATTCAATTAGTTTTAGTCGCTTTTGTGAACAGAGTGGTTCTGTTTTTGTGATACTGGGGGCTGCCCTTTTTATTTTATTCTATCTAATTTTTTATATTTACTTGAGTATTTAGTTTTTGTGGTACTGGGAACTGAATCCAGGGCTTTCATACAGACCTCCACCCCCAGTCTTTTTTATTTTTTAATTAATTAATTAGTTTATTTATTTATTTTTTGGTACTGGGGATTGAACTTGGGACTTTCCACTTGTGAGGCAGGCCGCGGAACCCCTGAGCTAAACCCCCAGCCCTTTATTTTTATTTTTTGAAACAGGAACTCTGTAAGTGGCTAAGTTGCCCAGGCTAGGCTCAAAGTTTCTATCCTCCTGCCTCAAGTCTCCCACAGTATTGGAATTACAGGTGTGTGCCACCCTGCTCAACTAATTTTTTATGTTTTTATTTTAAGAATCTCAATAAGTTGCCCAGACTGGCCTCAAAATTGTGATCATCCTACTTCAGCCTCACAAGGAGCTGGTTTGTTTGAGAATTTTTCGTAGGAGAAATTTAAATCTGAAGAGTCCTGGGTAATGGACGAAAGTTTGAAAATGTGTTGCTTGGAGCTTTGTAAGATTGACAGTGTCAGTGTTTACTGAAATGCTAAAACTATAGTATCTATATCAATTAAAATAGAAAACAGAGAGGTAGAACTTTTGCAAAAGGCAAGGGGACCAGGAGATGAAAAGAGGGGCTAGAGAGGGGAAGGGAAGGAGATTAAAAAAAAGAAATAAGATGTGTCATGTACATGTACTAACTCCCCATGATGAATGTAATCATTACATGCTGCAAACTTGTACTAATAAAATTAAAAAAAAGGCAAAATTCATATATCTAAAATTTAAACAATACAAGAAGCATCTTTAGGCATACCTGTATCATTCTGTACAATATAGATATATATACTTTTACACTTTTCATAACACAGTCCTTTAAAAAAAGAGACCTTAGTGTCTTCAGTGCATTGCACTTTCAGTGTGATAAATATGAAAATTCTTTGTAGTATGCCTGCTACCAACACAGGTACCTTATACCACAGCTTATCTTGAGATTTTCCAGAGACAGCAAGGATCAAAAGTGGAACCATATAGTTGCAAAGAGAAAATTTAAAAATGACAGAGGAGGATAGTAGGTCTGTCTTAAAAGGAATAAGTAGCAAGTTTTAGGAGAGATTAAATGTGAATAACTAATATTGGCTGCTGCTTTTGAGTATCCATGTTAGGCGCTGTATTCCATAATGGCAGCTCTCAAAGAGGATATTAATATTATACTCAGACTTTTAACATATCTTATCTTTAATTCTTATAGCTGCCTCCCAAGATAGGTATTATCTCTCTTTATAGATGAAGAGACAGGGCTTACAGAAGTTAAAAAGATTTGGCCCAGGTCACAAGGAAGATAAAAATAAAAAAGCTTCAATTCAAATTGTATTTGGTACTAGAACTTGTAGTCTTTTTGTCAGGCCACATTGGCTTTCAGAGAATTATACAAATCACACTTCAGAAAGCTGAGCTTTATAAATGAAAAATAAAATGAGATGTTTGTTGTTTTCCTTCAAGTGACTTTGTGAAGCTTTCCCGATTGCTGCCTTCTCCCTAAATGTGATCTCCATTTGCAGCTGTTCTTTCTGCTTTGGCTTAGTAATCATTGTATCCTCCTACTCCAAAATTGCAGGAAGCAAGCTGATGCAGAAGTTTTTGCTTGTTTTAGAATCATTATAATAAGTGCCACCACTGAGCTAAATTTGTTGAGACATAGGTTTCACTTTTAACATCTTTTTAATGTTAAAATTTGGGGAGTAAGGAATGTTGAGATTCATTGGTCACAACTTTAACTTTGTAGTAGTTTTGGAAATTGTTAAGAAAACCAGATTAGTCCTGTACTCAGCACCAGGGTAAACCTTTTCTTTTTGCCATTTTAATTGATTTATTTCTTCTAACAGTTGGGTGAGTTTTGGACAAGCTGCAAATTGGTATGAGTGTGTTTTCTAAAAATCCAATTGATGATTTTTTGAAAGGTACATGGTTATATACTTTTTTTCTCCTAGATATTTAGGATGGTCATTGTAGCATTTATAGATGGTCCTTTTGCTTATTTTTACAGGGCATTATGTGACACAAAGGACCGTGGGAAGCTTTCAAAGGATCAGTTTGCTTTGGCTTTTCACTTAATCAATCAAAAGTTAATAAAAGGCATTGATCCTCCTCACATTCTTACTCCTGAAATGATTCCACCATCGGACAGAACAACTTTACAAAAGGTAAGACAACTTAAAACCTGAATGCATTAGTAGAAAGGAACAAGTGCTATGTCAAGTGAGAGTCAATTTTGATAAAACAGTGGAGTATCTGGCAAGGAGCAGAGCAGTACACCATTCACAGTTTAACTTGTAGTGATACATATGCTCACACTGCCTTGTATAATATTGTTGGTCTGCACCCTTATGCCACTATGCATAACACATACAACAACTATATTTTACAATCATAAATTGTATTTTCCTTCATGAATTTGTGAATTTTTATGAATACAGTGTAAAAGTTAAATGAAAACTGTAAGAATTAAGTTACTGTGTTCCATTTGATCTTTCATTCTTATAGAAAACAGTATAAATTTGAAAACAAAATCTAGGTAATGATGATTGCTTGGTGTCAATTTTGTATCAAAGCCCTCAAGTAAAAAATTATATTGAAGATATATCTGAGTGAGGTATTTGCCATAGGTGATACCTCATTCCTGAGTATACAGCTAAACTTCATGTGTGAACAGGTAGAAGCCAGTTGTAGTTACTTTGGGTTTTGGGTCAACAGTAGGAATTGTCAAAACTACATCACTTTCATCATATTGTTCCTTGATTTTTCTCTTTTATAGAAACCTTTCCTGCTATAGTACACTTATGGCATGTAGGCCTTCAAGAGATCTTTATTTTTTCCATTAAGTTTATTGGTACATTTAAGGTGAACAGTACAGTTACACTTATCATTGGGATCTTATACCTTTACATGATGTATCTTGGTTCTTATTTTTTCTCCATTCTCCTGCCCTTCTTTCACCACCTTTTTTGTTTTGTTTTTGTTTTTGGTACCAGGGATCAAAATTGGGACCTTTCACTTGCCAGGCAGGAGGCAGAACCACTGAACCAAATCCTTGGCCCCTTCAAGAGATCTTTAAAATAACATACTTTAATGTTCTTTTGCCTTTAAAAATAAATCCTTTAACCGTGCCCTGGGATGAGGCTACATGCTGGCTATTAGGGAGGCAGAGGTGAGAACCTTGCTTGAGCCCAGGAGTTTGAGGCTAGCCTAGGCAATACAGTGAGACTGTGTCAAACAAAACTTTCTCTCTTTAAAACTCTTATGGCCTATAAAGTAACTATTGTGTGGTGATTCTGCAGGGCTGTGGATAATAGTTGTTGTCATATATGTCCTGTGTATGAGGAAGTCTGTCTTTGAAATATCAGTAGAATGTTTTGGTTTTGCATTAATTTTGTAACTGGTTTTTAAAAATCCTATCTTAACAAAACTAGTAAAAGTCAAAACTGGATTTTTTCCAAGTAGAATTTGCTGCCAGCAGGTATAGGGAGTTCCTTATATGAATTAGCATCTTCCCAGAGGCTTGTACCATCTGATAGGAAAGCCATGCACGACCAGTGGTTGAGAGCTACCTGGTAGCAAGACATAAGAATTAATGGCCCCATTATAAACGTGTCAAAGTTCTTATTTTAAATAAAATAGACAATTGTAAGCTTCCTGAGTGTTTTGTGGGGAGGTCACTTTGTGAATTTTTAAAGATCCTTTGTGATGTATAACATAGGTTCTCTTAAGTGTAGAGAAGGCTGGAAGTGAAGCCGCGAGAAAGGTAAAGAGTCCTGGATTTGAAGTTCCTGGTGATACCAATGTACTTAGAGACGCAAGCATGATCTGTTCTCTCGTTCTACAGAGCCATAAATGTATACACATTATGTCAAATGGAAAACAGATTACTGGATTTGTATTTACATCCTCCACTATGTAATTGTATCTTGTTTATGAAATACTTTGTTGTTTCATCTTTTTACCTGTGTAGATTTTTCTTCCCTTGCCATCTTCATTTAATAATCAGCTGCAACTCCCATCAACACGAATTACACACGAAAGATTTCTGAGACAAATTATATGTATTCATTGTAGTGCTTGCAGACACTTGAAGCTCCATTTAGTGTACAGAGTTTAATTTAGGAGATTTATGTGAAGTTCATTTACTAGTACAGACACTTTTGTCTTTGTGTGAAGTATGGATATTATTCATTGAAATGAGATTTTTATCACTTGCCTAATCTATTAACCAAAAATTTTAACCTTAAAAACTAAAACTTGAATTTATCTTTTAGATATTCTCTTTTTTCTTTATAATCTGATTTTTAAAAAATACTGCACTTTTTTTTGGGGGGGCAGCTTTGACTAATCCTTTTTTGAATGTTACTTTCCTTTCTGTGTTTTTTCTAGTTTGGACTATTTTTTCCATTCTGCAGCACTGTGCTTTCGCCTTTCTTGTACTGTCAGTTTCTTAACTACTCTCTCTCAAGGTTAGAGTTTTATCTTATGCCTTTTTTTTTAAGCATTATGATTTTTGGTTTACAGATAAATTTTAAAATAAGAGGTTTTTTTTTAATGTAGCAAAGTTGATGAAAGAACATACCTAAACAGATGCTGTCACATGTCACTTGGTCCTGTGTGTGTTTTATCTTGCCTTCTTTAGGCTCTCTGATCCATTTAGAATCACCAAAGCAGAATTTTTGCATAATGCACAAAACAGGGAGAGAATATTTTGAAAGAAGGGAATATCCTACATTTTTCTTTGTATACCCTTTATATACTATATGTAATGTTAGCTAAACTTTTTCTTTGCTTCCTGGTTCATGTCATTTTAGTCATCTAGGTTATTGCCTTCTAACTTGTTTGAAGTTAAACTAATTTGTCTCACTTTGCCTTCTTGATACTTTAATAGCAAAGACTGTCAAATATGAGTCATTTTTTTAGAGTGACAGCAGAGGTGTGGAAGTCATGTGTTTTTTGGGACACTTGCACCTCTGATAGCAAATTTCTCAGTAGCTCTTAAGTGATGGAAGTTACTGTTCATTATGAAAGTGAGACTGAGTGCTATTTTTTCATTTTATTCTTCTGTTTAGCTGTCTGGGCAAGCTTAGCTTATAGATCAAGTTTGAACAGTTAAAATCATAGTGAATAAATGTCACATTCAGAAATATACTTTAAATTTTCTAATTTGATACCGTATTATTAAGGGTCACTGTATCAGTGAAGTATAGTAAAAGTTATGAGGTATATTTAATATAAATTTGTGATTAAATCAGGCATAGTGGCACAGATCTATAATTGCAGCTGAGGCAGTAGGATTGTAAGTTCAAGCCCCGCCTGGGCAATTTAGTGACTTAGTAAGACTATTTCAAAATGAACAAAGGATTGAGGATGTAGTTCAGTGTAAAGGCCCTGGGTTCAATCCCTAGTACCACCCTCTACCCCCCAAAAAACCCTTGTAATTAATATAAAATTGAAAGTATTACTAATTGAATCCTCATAAATGAATTTTGATATTGATGGTCAAAACAAAACAACTTAGTATAAAAATTGCAGTGTAGGGTTGGCAATTTAGCTCAGTGGCACTATGCCTGCCTCACAAGTGTGAGGACCTGTGTTCAATCCCCGGTACCAGAAAAAAAAATGCAGTGTGCTTAAACAAATATAGAAAGAATCACTTGTCAGATTTTATTGATGTACATATTTATCAGATTTACTTTTACCATAATCATTTACCTTAAATAATTTTGATGTGCAGGTGTCAGGGAGCATAGTATAAAATGGCACTTTAAAAGACTTTTGATGAAATGCATGTTAGCTGGGTTTAACTGTGAGCTGTCATTTAATGTGTTTCCTCAGCACTGTCATGGATTTAATAATATCTGCCCTAGTTAACAACCCACTTTTCACATTAGTTTTGAGAATTGCCTAATGGATTAACAGTGCTTAGTGAATTATAAATGATTATAAATGTGAGGAGATGGGTTATTGGGAGTTCTTAGGTTTTTTCTGTTGTGCAAGTTGCTGGTATACATTAAATATATATAACAAGTTTTAGAACTACTAATAAGATATCACTTGATCAGGCCTCCATTTTTTTGTTTGTTTGTTTGTTTTTGTTTTTTGAGACAGGATCTCACTATGTAGTTGAGACTGACCTGGAGCTCACTATGTAGTACAGGTTGGTCTCGAACTCACAGCGATCCTCCTGCTTCAGCCTCCTGAGTGCTGGGATTACAGGCATGAGCCACCACACCTGGCTTGATCAGGTCTCCATTTTAACATTTCCAAAAGATGATTATTCTGTTGTTTGTCAGTCTGCTTTTTGTTTTTTTGTTTTTATTTTGGTACCAGGAATTAAACTCAGGGCCTCACAATTGCCAGGCAGGTGTTGTACCACACTGAGCTATGTCCCTGGCCCTTGTCAGACTGGTTTTAGCATTGGTATAAGTCAAGGGTTTAAAAGAGGTCATTGTGTTGCCTTGACTTCAGCCAGCTGTATACGTTAGTGATAGTTCACAAAGGAGAATTATTTCACTCACTTTGTGGAGTGGCCGGAACAGAGAGTATCTTCCTGTTTTAGAGGTGAAGATCATGTAGCTAGTAAGATATCAAAACCCTGAATAAGCCTAGGTAGATTTTCAAACTACGAATACCACTAAGATCAATTTTGATATCTTCATTATTGAAAGTAAACCATACATAAAGAATGCCATCTATGAAGACAGTTTCATATATAGTGATAATACTGTTTACTATGGAACATGCCTGATGAGTTTGTTTTACTTTAGACACTAAAAATATTTAATAAAAGTAAATATTTGTTGAATTGAATTAAATCAATCATTATTATAATTCTGAGATTCAACAAAAATGTATATACTTATTTTGTGCCAGATCATTCAAATGCAGATAAATCACCATCCTTTCCCCTAAGAAATTTACATGTCAGTGGAACAATTAATTTATAAATCTGATACAGTGATACCTCCATCCACAAACTTAATTCTTTCCAGAATTCTGGTTGAAAACTGAATTGTATGAGAATCAAATCAAATTCATTGGTTAGATTCAATGTTGACCTTAGGAGAAATGTTATTTGGTTTTTGTCTAGTTCAGTTTATGACCAGATTCATAAAAGAATTGTTTGTGAACTGAATTACCATCATATCTTTTTTTGTTTTTGTTTTTGTAGTGCTGAGAATTGAACGTAGGGCCTTGAGCATGCTAGGCAAGCATTACATCCCCCCCAACTTTTTGGCATTTGTTTTATTGCAAGATTCTGGAAAGGCTAGGATCAAGTGACAACGACATTGGGATGGGTGGGTGGGGGTATATATTATATATTATGGAATATAATACATACATTTTAGAATAACTGTTTAGAGAATTTACAGAACTTAGTATATAACCTGGTATATAATTATATAATTGCACTATTATTTTAGTAAATTAATTGAAAGTGATACTGATGTAAAATATGCAATATTTTGTATCTGTATAGCTTTTAACATTTTTAGTACTTTGCTTTAAATCACAGTTGTGTAGTAATAATTCATTTGTGACCTTTTTTTTTTTTAGAACATCATAGGATCAAGTCCTGTTGCAGATTTCTCTGCTATTAAGGAACTAGATACCCTTAACAATGAAATAGTTGACCTGCAGAGGTATGTAAAATAAAATTATAGCTGACTTCATTTATATATGCACATACAGTATGTATGTGCATGGTATGTATATATATTTATCTACACATACAGACAGACACATGTAAATACACATGCAAACACCCTTTTGTTTCTAATGTATATTTTGTTAAATTCTACTTAGTTAAGTACTATACGTCTACTTAAATGGAATTGCTATACTTTATTTTGTCAAATATAAGGCAACCTGTAATAGCAGTGTGGTATTTTTTTATGTACCACTGAAAAATTACCCAATAACTACTGGCTGTGACACTAACTAAAGTGTTCTTTGATTTCAGATAGGGAAAAAAAATGTGTATCTTTGAAATAGTAGTTTTTCTTTAAATATTTGAATTAAAGATTAGGGCAGCATTTTAAAATATATTTTATGAAAATAATGTTAAATGTAGACATTGCGCCAAGTGCTTTCATAACTATTATTTGATCCTCGTAAAAACTCTGACCTAGCCGGGTGTGGTGGTGCATGCCTGTAATCCCAGCACTCGGGAGGCTGAGGCAGGAGGATTGCTGTGAGTTGGAGACCAGCCTGGGCTACATGGTAAGTTCCTGGTTAGTCTCAACTATGTCCTGAGACCCTGTCTCAAAAAAACAAACAAACAAACAAACAAACAAAAAACTGATTTTAGTGAGGTGTAGTGATGGTCTTGTTTTATAGGTGAGGGAGTTAAGGCACTTAGATAATTTTGCCTAAAGACATATAAACTTGTCAACTGTAAAGCCCATAGCTGAAAGCAGCACTATTTGATTCTAGTTGAATCTTTTTCTGAGCAAAGGTACTGTGTAGAACATGCTCAAATACAGTTAGATTTTAATCTGTACTGCAGCTACTGTTGATATTACCTCATCTGTGAGACTATTGAGATTACAGTAGAGAAAAGTAATGATTCGAATTTTTTTCATTTCCAAGAAAGAAATCAACCCTAAGTAACAAGTGAAAGTGAATTTATTGACTTGTGAAACTAAAACATTTTCATGATAGGATTGACTTAATCACGTACCAGGCAATTGAGGCCTGAGTGGTCTATAATCAGTGCTCTCTCTCTCTCTCTCTCTCTCTCTCTCCCTCTCTGTCCCTCCCTCTCCCTCACTCCCTCCCTCTCTCCCTCCCCCCCCTCCTCTCTCCCTCTCTCCCTCCAAGGTCTTACGGTGTAGTTCAGGCTGGCCTTGAACTCATTGTAGTTTTCCTGTCTCAGCCTTTCTAGTGCTAGGCTTATAGGTGTGTACCACCATACCTGGCTCTTCATTTGTTTCCATTTCTACTACATTGATTCCATTCTTTGATAAACTTTCTCCTCATGTTGACAAGAGGACTATAACACATCAGTACTTACAATTTGGAGTTTAGTGGAGAGTGCTTCTCTTCTGGCAATTTATGAGAAAGTCCTGAGACTCAGTTTCTTTGGATTGGTTTAGGACCATGCTCACCCATGAACCAGTCACTGGCCAGGAATACCTAGGTCATTAATCTGTCATGAACAATGTCATGGGAGTGTATGGGTGGTACTTTGTCACCAAGACCACATGAAGGAGGGAGTATCCATACATGACATTTGGAGGTACTGCCAGAAAGAGGAATGAATTCTGGGAGGCAAATGTCTTCTACAGGCACTACAGTTTTAAGGCTTCAGTAATTTCAATGATCAACATTGGTATCAAACATCTCTTTAAGTACTATGACTTGACACCTATAAATTTAGTCTGTGTACCTATTTATTTATTTATATTTATTTAGTGTACCAGGGATCGAACGCAGGACCTTACGCTTAGTCTGTGTATCTTTTTATGGTCTTTTTTTCACTTTTCTTTTATGATACTGGGAGTCGAATCCAGGGCCTTGTGCATGCCAGGCAGACGGTGCACTGCTCAGATACATCCTTGGCCCCTCTTTGAAAATTGGCCTCTTTTTACATAAAACCTCTAATATTGGAATTTGAGAAAGTTAAAAAAAATCCTTGGAAATCAAATAATTCAGCTGTTTTCTTACTCATGGGGTAAAAATTCAATCTAAAGCTAGAAATCAAGTCAGAGATAGTGCTGATATCAAAACCAGGTTGGGTAAGTTCAGTGTTCTTTGTTTTATACACTTCTTCCACTCATTAAGATTTAAATTTTTTTTTTTTGGTGCTGGTGATCGAACTCAGGACCTTGCGCTTGTGAGGCCGGTGGCGGAACCAGTGAGCTAAACCCCAGCTCCAGATTTAAGCATGTTTTTATTTGGTTTTAAACAAGAGAAGTACATATTTAGCTACTGAATCTAGTGATATTTAGACTTTTCATTTTTGTATGTTCTGTAAGTTGTTCATAAACATTTCTGCTTCAGTCTAATATATGTAATACATATTTTATAGTAGCTAGGTTTACAAAGACTTGGCTGTATGCCAGTCAAGCCCTGAAAATAGATACATGCCCATAGTGTTCCAGAACTTACTTTGACTTCAACAATAGTAGTTTAACATATAAAACGTTTTTCTAGTGAGTTTTAATAGGCATTGGAGTATAAAGTTAATTTGTTTTGTTTTTGCTACCATACATTACATTTTGGTCATCAAAGCTCTCAGCAACTTTTAATAACCATAACACTAAGTTGTACCACTGACAGTCTAACATTTATCTTATGAAAGTTATGAGTTTCAAAACCTCACTCGTTTTAGGTCATATTTTATAAACATGTGATGCATTTATACACGATTTGACAATTGTGAAAATATTTTCTCTAGGCTTTTTGTTGTTGTTTTGTTGTCACTGGAATCGAACTCAGGAGCTTGCGCTTGTGAGGCAGGTGCAGCGCCACTGGGCTAAATCCCCGGTCATTCTCTAGGCTTTTTTTAAAGGTGAGCTCTATAGTATAGGCAAACTTCCACCATCTGTCAGCTCTAGTATGATATAATGACTCATCTACCTATGCTAAAATTGTGGTTGTTGTTAAAATTCACTTTTATTATTATTAGGTCACTAAGTCTTCAAGGTATTACATTATAAACCTCGGCTTTCATTACTGTGAATAACAGATTTTTATTTTCAGTGTAGTGTTCCTACTCTCAGGCTTTAAATCTTTCTTTTATTAATACACCAGTACATGATATGTATGACTAAAAGGAAAAAATAATTTAGATAGATTTTGTTTGTGGCATTTACTAAATTGTTATCTGACAAAAGATTAGGCACTCCTTTGTTGGTTTTGAGATGAAGATATTTAACTTAGCTCAGAGACCAACACTGCAAACAAACAGCATACATGATATGGAATTATAATGGACACACACACACACACACACACATATATAAAATGAGTATTTTACAGTATAGTATTTTCTTCCTTGATGATGAGTATAATACATATTCCCTGGAAGAATATGGGAAATACAGGAAAGCACAGTGAAAAAATAAATGTTTCTTAGAATAATATTTTGTTTTTAGCATTAAAAACCAGTGAAATACCGAAAGCTATGTAAAAATGGGAGTTAGTTGGGTAAAGAGTGTTCTTTGTTGCTTATTAGAAAATAAGGCATTGTTTTCATCTCTAGTTCATGTTTTTCTAGAAAAAAATATTATACAGTAAGAGTTTGAGACACAGTACCTTTAACTTGAAGGAATAGCTATAGCTGTGATAGAACATTCTCATCAAATACCCGAGTCTCATGTTGGGGCTTCAGACCTATAGTTTTTGTTGTCTCCTATTTTCCTCAAAATTTCAGCAGGACATGACTTCCTAATCTAACTGATGTCCGTCCTACATTTCCTTTTCTTAGTGACATCACCATTGATTTAGTCACTGAAGCTAGAGAACAGAAATCTTTTTCCTTCTCTTTTATTCTGCCTTTAAAATCTCTTGAATTCACTCCTGCCTTTTCATCTCCTTTGCCTGAATAACTTGTCCTTTAAAATCTCACTGTAAACATGATTTTCTCTGCGCGAGGAAGCCTTTCTTGACTAGTTTAACCTCTGATCCTCCTGCTCTTCAGGTGTTGTGGAAGAGCTTGTATTTACAACTGTTACAGCAGTCCCTCTCCTTCCTTCCCTCTCTCCCTTTTTCTCTCCCTCCCCCTTTCCTTGTTCTCTTTCCCTCCTCTCTCCCTTCAGTCTTCCCCCTTCCCTTCTCTCTCCTCTGACCTTTTCTCCTGAGTAGAGGTTGTACCAAGCTACATCCCTGGCCCTTTTCTTATTTTTTATTTTGAGGTAGGCTCTTGTCTTGCAAAGTGGCTAGGTTGTCCTGGCTGGGATAGGTGGGATCCTCCTGTGTTACCCTTCCAGAGTATTAGGATTATAGGTGTGCACCACCACACCCAAGCTGTCATACTTTATTATAATGATCTTTTTCTTTGAGTCTCCTACAAGACTGCTTGCTTCTTTGTTTGTTTGTTTGTTTTGGGTTTTTTTGAGTGAGAGTCTCACTGTGTAGTTGAGACTGACCCGGAACTCACTATGTAGCCCAGGCTGGTCTCAAACTCACAGTAGTCTTCCTGCCTCAGCCTCCGGAGTGCTGGGATTACAGGAATGCGCCACCACACCCGGCTGACTGCTTGCTTCTTAACTGTGTTGACTACTTGCTTGTACAGTGTTACCTACCTAGTACTTAGTTTGTACAGTAATAGATTAGTAAATAATTCATTCAGCATTGTTGAAATCTGTTGTCTTTACCCATTGTCTTAGCTTTAGCATGCATTTAATTTATTTATTTATTTTTGAGACAAAGTCTCACTTTGTAGTTGAAGTAGGCCTTGAACTCACTGTGTAGCCCAGGTTGTCCTCAAACTCACAGTGATCCTCCTGTCTCAATCTCCCTAGCGCTAGGATTCCAGGCAGTGCTGGGATTCCAGGTGTGTGCCTGGATCACTATTATAACTTCTAATTGGCCCTCTGCGTGGAGCCTTTCCTTTCTTATGTTATCTGAATTCCACTTGACAATAAATATAATTCAGGCCCCTCAGTTACTCCTCATCCTAAGCTGGATCCAGTTTACTTTCCTGGAAA